AACTAAACAAATGCCAGCCACTCTGCACTTTTTCTTTCTTTCTTTCATAATGAAAAAACCAACAAGAAAAGCTTGGAAGCCCAGGAAGAAGCTACATTTTATCGGGTCTGAATTTAATCCCCTAGTTGGGCTGGTTGATTAAATCAACCTTACAGGTTTGAATTCCCTTTAAACAGGGAGTTTGTACTACAGACATCCAGGCAAACCCAACTGCATCATGCTGCCAGTTCCCAACGGCTGTGCCAAACAGATGCTGGGCCCGATCAAAAGAGCAGCTGCTGGGAATGGAGAGCTTCAGGTACCCCATGCAGTGGGAAGCGCTCTAGCGCTGAATTTCACGTGAGAGCAGAGACAGAGCGAACTCAAGCGCCAAGCGAACCACGGAATTCAACACTCTTACCCCAACCCTGAAAAAAAAATAAAAAGAAAGGAAGAAAGAGAGGGCGCTCCCGCTGCTGGCCTCGTGCTACTAAATTATTGACTTCCCGACCGAGAAGGTGGCTCGGATACACTTAATGCTTTAAGGAGCAAATGCAAGTAAAAAGCAAACAAAAGGGAACATTCCGCTAAACTCAGGTTGTCGGGTCATTTGTTTTCTCATCTTTAAATGGAGCTTTAATGTCGAAGAGAGGCCATTTAGTGGTTGGAGCAGGAGACTGAGAGGCAAGACTCCTAGGTTCCAGCTGGGCTACTGGCTTTAGCAGTGTGACCTTCCTGTGGCAAATGGGGATAAGCGGACTGACCTCCCTTCCAGCGGGATGAGTGGTTTGGTTAGTTAATGCTCCTGGAGCACGCTGAGACATGAAAGACACCGCGTGCTTATTAATAATATCACTTTGATTCTAATCATTCTTCCCGGCTTTCTTTGAATGCTACCAAGCGAGCACTACTCTGCTGTGGTTTTTATCTCATCCACACTGGGAGGCTCTATGGCTTGTTACAACAGATGGGTTGTGCTCAGTTATCAAAAGAGAAAGACATTATCAGGGCCGGTGAGAGGGACCTCTCACTTTTCTTAGAGGGAAGCTGGCATAGGAGAGTCTAGTCCACTAATCAAGTATCAGGGGGTAGCCATGTTAGTCTGTATCCACAAAAACAACAAGGAGTCTGGTGGCACCTTAAAGACTAACCGATTTATTTGGGCATAAGCTTTTGTGGGTAAAAAACCATTTCTTCAGCTGCATCACATTAGTACACTAATGTTTCAGAAGGTGTCAACACCCAAATGAGTGGCCATTTTTTTCAAAGGAGCTCACTTGAAAATCTGGCTCCCTGGGTTTGTCCAGGTTCACACAGGAAGTCTATGACACAGACAGGAAGTGAAGCCAGCTCAGCTGAGTCCCAATCCAATGCCTTCTCCCCAAGGCCATCCCTCATCCTGGTCCTACAGCTCAGTGTGGATCCCAAGAAGCTAGCCAGGGGAGCAGCAGAGACATGTACATTGAGCGGGGGGAGGGAGGCTGACCAAACTGGCCCAGATGAGTGAGACGGCCACATTGTAGTCTCTGAACACCTGGGGAAAGCCAGGTATGTAAGTATGGAGCACCTTGAAGGCAGCTTCCCCCTGCAGGAGCAGTGTTTCCTCAGCACATCAATGACCCTGGCAGAGATGCAGGGGTCATATTTCCCACCGCTGAAATGTCATTGCACTGTTTCTCTTGTTTACTAGACACCGGAGGGTTTTCCTCAGCATCAGGCAGGGTTCCCCTGGCCCCACACTGCTTCTTCCTCATTCATTTCTCTTTCCCAACCACTCTTCTCTTTTCTGTGGGCTTTTTTTGGGGTGGAGGGCAGGGAACTGGGGGTATCTTCCTCTTGCTGCTGAGGATTCAGAGCATCTTCTAGTCCACTGCTGTGACCGTGTTCACTGGCACCGGCCGGCAGAGGATGGGGAGGCAGCAGGAGGGACAGAGGCACCAGAAGCTGCAGCCTGGGTAGGCTGTGTGCACAGGTAGATCTATCAGCCACCTCTGTGCACTCAGGTACTCCCCAGAGGTGGGGGCCACCTTCTTGGAGCCATTAACAATATGCTTGCACATTAAGGGCCAGATCCTCAGCTCGTGTAGACTGACCTGGCGCCAACGGTGGATTTATGCTGATTTACAACAGCTGAAGGTCTGGCTCTAATTTTCTAGGGTCAAATCACTAGGAAACACTCAGTCTTCTTTGACAGAGACATTCAAAGCCATCTTCCAGGAAGTGGTAGATGGACATACCAGTAGCTGTACATGGGAGAGGGTCTTCGGGCAGTCTGTGATTTAGCTCAGACACTTATCTCTTTTATACATAAAAATCTGCTGAAGGGGAAACATACTCGCACCAACCACAAAAGGCAGCATGCCGAATCTACCGGTACCTGCTGACTGCTTGCAAAACGGGCAGCACAGGCTCATAGCGGTTAGAGAAAATGAAGACTTACCAAATAGCATCTTAATTAGACTGCTAGCTATTAGGGGCAGAGACTGTCTTTTTGTTCTGTGTCTGTACAGCGCCTAGCACATTGGGCTCCTGGTCCATGACTATGACTCCTAGACATTACTGCAATATACATGATAATAATAGAATCCAGCCTCCTGCTGGAGTAGAATGCTCTGCATTGAAAAAGGATCGAGGACATTTTAAACCGGTCCTATCCTGGAGCAGCTTTCAGGAATGGTTTGGTCCACGACTAGAACAGAATTGTGTAGCCGTTTCCTATATTTAATGGACAGGATCAAGATTCCTTGCGGAAGCTGTCGCTAGCAGGTTAACAAAATGCGACTGAGATAGGGCAGCAGGGAGAACTGACCGCTCCTGCACCTTTCCAAAAGAGCTTTATTGGGCGAGGCCACTGGAGTGGAAAGCACTGTTGCTTTTACTCACCAGCCGGGAAGGATATTTCACAGACGAGCTCCTTGCTCACTCATCATGCAGAGATGAGGCCGTTCCTGCAAAGCGGAGAAGGATTTCGCACAATGCGCTTGGGAACCCCAGTGCACAAGGAATGTTTAATGCCGCCCTTAGCCCAATATTGAATCCCACCATGCTGACCTAGGCAGGCCAGAAAGTGTGGATCTAGGTCCAAGAGAAGTGCGCAGATTTGTTCTTCCATTCCGAGTACAAAGGGAACTGTCAGACATGACAACATGAGACAGGCCACCCGAGATCTACCTGCCCTGGCTTGTATGTGGGTACCACCCTGCTGCTCTCCAAAATACCAGCATCTCGGGGGACACGCTAGATCGCTGCGCAGCATTGGTACTCCCAGTATCTGTGCTTCACCAGAGAAAGCAAGGTGTTTGCCTGAGTAATGAACCTGCTATGAGTCATCAGAGGGGATTGAACTCAGAAACCTCAACAAGAAAAGCAAAAGCCTCTACCACTTGAGCTAACAGAATAACTGCTTTATTGCTTAATAACTTATCCTTGCTGGAACCAGCTGTCTAGAGACGTGTGTTTTCTCTCTCTCTCTCTCTCTCACACACACACACAGACACACACCTTATCGACTCACAAAATTACCCAAAAGGTGTAATTTTACACAAATTTAATTAAACCAGTTCAACTGTGTGTGTGGATGCGCCTAAACTGATTTAAAGCGGCTGTACAGTAGTTTAGTTCACCTCGGTAAACATACAGGCGTCAGCTCATGCAATAGAAGAGTGTCTACACCGGGTTTTGCTCTGGTTCAACTAGATTGGGTTGAGCTGGGCTCCTCTCTGCCTCGCTGTGTTATGGGAAATGACTATTAAGTGGAGAAGAATTAAGAGGAAAATCAGTTTGGCAAGAATGCCGACTCAATCCCCGGCAGCAGAAGGTGCGCCCAGAGTCACGCCATGCCTGTGCAGCAATCTGTGAAATTAACAACTCTCCAGGCTTTGCTTTCTGCTCATCTTTCCAGTCAACTGAGAGAAACATTCTTTGATTCAACCCTTTAGAGACTACGCTCCCATATGCAGCCCTCTCGGAGAAAAACAGGAGAGATTCATCAAGGGAGATGCTAGGAAGGGTCCTGGGAACAAGTGGTGGGTTGGGCCGCATGATGTGCATGGGCTGTCGTAAGAATTATTATTCTGTGATGGGGCTACGTTTAGAGTGGTTCCATAGCTGAGCCTGAAAGACAGTTTTGTGTACTGCATGCACATATCAAAACCGCATGGCATTTGTGTGAGAGCACCCCCTGCACCCATCAAGCAGCCGGCAAGTTGGCAGATTCTCAAGGTTAACATTCGCCGGCTATGGCTTATGGCAATGAGGGGTGTCCTCAGCCAGACAACAAACAGCCCGGATGGATCCCCAAAGGATTCCAGGCTGGCTTCCCCAGCTGGGGGGCAGCCTCATTATATCCCCTTCCCCCGCCCCCGCTACACACAGCTGCGCCCATCATGACTAGGATGTGGCTTCTCGAAGGTGGGAGGGAAGCAGAGGAAGCAGTTTAAAGCAGGAGCAGTCGGGTGTCTTTGGGGCCTGCCTAGAGATATGGGAAAGCCAGTGAGGCGAGGGGGTGGAAAGGAACCTTTGGAAGAAGCCATGGGGACTATCCGAAGGTCTTATTTAACTCAATGGGAAGGGACAGCAGGATCAGGCCCTAATAGAGTTGTGTGGGGGGGGCCGAGGTGCTGTAGGGTGTTATCCCAGAGTCCTTTGCAGAGGGGTGCACGGCTGGCTGCAGCAGTGGGCAAAAGGCCAGGCAGGCAGGAAAGTGGATATCAGTGCGGGGCTCAGCGAGAGCAGCTCGAAGGTAAACAGCACTTTTCAACCGCGCTGGATGATTTAAGAGAGAATAAAATCAGCCCAGTCTGGTTCAATTCCCATTGATAATGTCCATGTACAATTAGAGCCAATTAGGGAGAGGCAGAGAATGACAAGTGTTTGGCCAGAAGGTGGGGGTGGGGGGTCAAAACAGCAATCAAATTTCCCAACCACCAAATGCAATTAAGGAGTATTACTTACCCTGCTTGCCCAGGAGGGCCAGCACATAAATGGCAAAAGCCAGGAGCGCGAGCGTCTTTTTCCCCAGCATGCGGACCACCGGGAACAAGAGATCCCCCTGCCCAAGTTTCAGGCTCCGGGAAGTGGCCTCCATGTACTTCACCATGATTATGGTTTTCCTGGTCATCCTGGTGGTAGCTCTGCAAGGCACAGCTCCCCGGGAGAATTATTTCCCTTACAAGGTGCCCCTGGATCCCCAGAGTTTCCTGGAGCTCTCGTGGAACGTCAGCTACCCGGAGCAGGTGGTACATTTCCAGCTCTTGGTCAAGGAGCCAAAATTCGGGCTGCTCTTCGGGATGTCGGACAGGGGCGAGTTTGAGAACGCGGACCTGGCCGTGCTCTGGAGCGACGGGCACAGTTCCTATTTTGGGGTAAGCTGCTTGCACATTGCCAAGCTTCCAACCTCGGCTGCCTGTCCAGGGAGTCCAATCCTGGGGTAATTTTTGCTCTGCAGTGGGAAAGGATTGGACTGTACCTAGATCTCAGTGGAGTCCAGGGGAGTGCGGGCTGAGTGAGACCTTCAGGTTTGGTCTGTACGTTTAGCTGTGGGTGGTTAACAGGTGCTTGGAGGTTTATTCCAAAGGGATACAGGGCTCACATACCACAGTGATGAGTGTGGTATAGGATCTGAAACAGAACAGAATAGACTAGTTAGACTATCAGAGGAGCTAACAACTGCTCTCATTACTTGACCCCAGTATCTTTATGAAATTTATTTCCAAAGTACTGTAACAGACGGCTGTATATCAGCAGCTACACCATGCACACACGCATGAGGCGTCACCAACTTGGTTCGCTTGTGCGCTTCTGTCAGTCGCATTAAAAATTAACCACAACTCCAGTTAATGACATCGAGAAAGTGCAAAAGTGATCATCCAGAAGCTCTGCTCTGCCAGCCTCAATAAGCCGCATGCAAGTCAGATTTGAAGCTGTAGCAAAGATCAACAGGACTTTGGAAAATACAATTTGACCGCCTGCTGCCAGCAGCACAGTACTAGAAGAAATTAAACATGCAAATGCATTTTGGGTGGACAAAAATGCCGAATGCTAGACAGGCAGCTCGGGAGCTAATTTCTGATTTTGCTGTTTGATTTTAGAAGTGCAAATTATCATCTTTTGCTACACGATCAGTGTTTGTTACTTTTTAATTTTTCTTTACAATAGGTGTGTATCTGAAATAACAAATCACAGGAACCATCCCCAGGGCTTTGGCCTGGGCTCATTGTAAATTTATTTGAAGGTAGAGCTCAATCCAGATTTTTTCTGATGAATTTGAATTTACCAACTGTCACTAACACAATCTACAATAGAATAGAAGGATGAAAAGGAGGGTTTGGGACACTACGAGGTGTGCTAGTTTTTTCACTAATTACCAGCTAATCACCGATATGAGAAGACTTGAATGCTACAGGATTGCAAAACACCGGGTTAAAAAAAAGAACATAAAGGAACATTTCTAGTATGGTTTTCACATGTTCATTGTAAGATGCACAGTGCTCAATTCAAAAGCAGTCAGCGTTCTGACTTCTAGTCCCATTTTGGGAGCATCTTTTAACTACTGCATGCAGATTTATAGAAATCTGTACACTATTATCTCTCTCCCCAGCAGTCTTTCTTCTGGTTGTGTTTGTCAGATGCTAAAAGATCCAAATTTGCTTAACCTTTCCAGATACTATAAGATTAATTTGCGCAACGCATTTCTGTGAAAACAAATGCCATGCTTGATTCTTCCCCCCTCCCCACCCCTCGACCAATATGTTCAAGGAATACAATTCTACACTTCAAGCTGAAATGATGCCAGGATGTCTATTCCTTTTTATTTCTCAGACAAAAATAAAATGAAATTAAATCAGTGGCTACTCCAATGGAGTATGCGCAATGAGATATTTCCCAGTCTCTTCCTACACCCAGTAAGTGAAAGAGACCTACTGGAGACATACTCAGTAACCCAGTTCATACTCCCAGAACCAGTGCAAGTTTTAGGCTCTGATCCTCTACATCTTTAAACCCAAGATTGCTTATTGGGCCAGTTTTGCCACCCATGTGCAATGCCCAGCAGCACCTTACTCTTGGAGTAGTCCTGCTGCGTTCATTGGCACTATTTGTAGAACAGGTTCTGGCTGCAGATGATTACGGTTTACGAATACGAACAGAGGTTTGCTGGGTCATCCCCAGAGTCCTCCAAGGAAAGGTTGGGTAGATTGGCAGAGGTCCTGGAGGTTTTTCGCCTTCCTCCGCAGCATGGGGCAGGGGTCGCTTGCTGGAGGATTCTCTGCGACTTGAAGTCTTTAAATCATGATTTGGGGACTTCAACAGCTGAGTCAAGGGAGAGAATTATTCCAGGAGTGGGTGGGTCAGCTTTTGTGGCCTGCATCATGCAGGAGGTCAGACTAGGTGATCATAATGGTCCCTTCTGACCTTAAAGTCTATGAGTCTATGAGTGTCTGACCTTAAGCCACGAGGCAGCTGGTCTATGAGAAAAGTCTTTGAAAAAAAAAATGTTGCAGCACAAACAGGTGCAATACCTTCTTAAATCCCTGCAGGATTTTCCTACCTCTGTGCTGCTGGTCAGAAATCCAGTCCTTTGTTTAAAGGAACATGGATGTTGCTGACATAAAAAGTTAGGTCCTTTTCAGAAGTTACTAACATCAGCTGTGCTTAGTAAACACCACCCCCATACACCAAACGATGCATCTTGCCTCCCTACAAATCTTTCTGTGCCGTACAAATTCTGGGTCAGATTTACTCCTCCTGTCACTCTGCTGTTCTATGTATCCCTGGTGAAATGCCCCTGATCGAGATGTTATTTACTTGTATTGCAGCAGCAGCTAGGAGCCCATGTCATGGACCAGGACCCCGGAGTGCCAGGTCCTGTACACACACAGAGCAAAAAGACAGTCCCACTAAGACTGAATAATGCTGGCAAAGCATCATGTCCTAACTGTTTATAAGGATTTCCCCCCCCTCCTCTGCAGGATGCGTGGAGTGATGAGAAAGGGCAGCTTCACCTGGATTCCCAGCAGGACTACCAGCTTCTCAAAGCGCACAGAACCCCCGAGGGACTCTACCTGGTCTTCAAAAGAGCCTTCAGCACCTGTGATCCGAAGGACTACCTTATAGAGGTACTGCAGCGCCTAGCCATGGGCAGAGGCAAAGTGCCAGCTCAATATTTCTCCTGTTCACAGGATGGGCTGGACTCTGAGTGCTGTGCCATCCTGGCAGATAGTCTCATTGGGATCACTTATCGTTGGGAGCTCAGGACTGAACTGATAACAAATAGGTGAAATCCTGGCCCTACTGAAGTCAATAGAAAAAATCCCGTTGGCTTCACTGGGGCCCGGATTTCACCCAGTGTGCGCCCTGGCGCTGTTTAAATACTTGTGCTCTAGGAACCAGGTCAGAGCTCTGGGTCAAACGTCAGCATGACGAGTGCTCTGGATTGAAAGCGAGGGCACCTGGGCTTCTGATCGTGCTTACACTGGTGTAAATTAGGAGTAACTCCACTGAAATCAGTGAGTTATACTGGTGTAAAACGGGTGACATCAGAATCAGGTCCCTGCCTGTGGCAGTGAGTTGCGGTGTGACCGCAGACGTGTTGGCTCTCACCCCTCTGTGATTCGTTTGTGAAACAGAGATACTACTTACGGGGTGGTGGTGGGGGGGTTAGTTCACCGCGAGGAGGAGATCCTTGGATAAAATGGGTTTGCTTTGGCTCAAAGGAGCTAGGTATGTGCAAACTATTATTGTTGGGCTTTGCATTTGTGCCCTTGTAATGTGGAGATCCTTGCATTCTCCACTACTGTTCATGGTCTAGACTCTCTTGGAAGGCATCAGAGGCAGGAGAGTACGTCTCGAATCCAGAGTCTGACCATCGTTAGGGAACACGGCAAAACCTTCCTCTGGGAAAAAGCCTTTCTGCCAATGGCACTCACAATGCTGACACCCTTTCTACCCTTAATCCCCTACCACCTAGGGTGACTAGATGTCCCGATTTTATAGGGAACAGTCCCGATTTTTGGGTCTTTTTCTTATATAGGCTCCTATTACCCCCCCACCCCATCCCGATTTTTCACACTTGCTGTCTAGTCACCCTACTACCACCCCTCTGAACACGCAAGAAATTAAGAAAATCTTTCAAAAAAAAATCCCCAAGCAAACCAACAACCCCACCCCAGGCAAAGTTTGGAACCCAAAAAGGGAGAAAAATGCCAGAGAGTTCACAAAGTCCAGTAGGGCCTTTGCTATGGCTACCGATGGTATGGGGAAGGTGCTCAAATACCCCGGTGACGAAGGGCAGTATAAAGATGATTAGATTAGATAGAGAGCGCTCTACCTTTTCACCCCCAATTCAACTGATTCCTCCCCTCCCCCACTAAAACAAGTAACTGAAAATCAACAGTTCATTGGTACGATGCCCAGTTTTTCATCTATGCGGGTCTACTTCCCACATGCTATTTGTAAGAGAACATTAGACATTCATCCCTTTTAAACGGGAGAGCTTTAAATAATGTTTACACAATCCAGTACAACTCTTTATAAATCTCCATAATATACTGAGTTTATCCGGTTCCCGTCATCCGCTCCCATGAAGTACGTTGGCTCTATTTAAATACATCTTCTGCATCACTCCACATCACAATGTGGAGCCAGGTATTTTCAGAGTTGCAAAGAGGGTATCTCATGCTGAGGTACAGTCACAAAAAACTTTTCCAATGAAATTGTCTGGTTTTGGGTTCATTGAACTTCTGTGAAATGGCAGAATTTTTGGGAAAAATGTCCTATTCTGGATGTCTAGGAGGGACAAGCATTGTGTCATCAAGAGGGAGTATGGTCCAGTAGACCAGTGGTTCTCAACCAGGGGTCCAGGGCCACCTGGGGGACCCCGAGCAGGTTTCTGGGGGGCCGTCAAGCACGGCCAGCATTAGACTCGCTGGACCCAGGGCAGAAAGCCAAAGCCCCACCACATGGGACTGAAACCCCTGGGGCTGCAGCTGAAGCCTGAGCAATGTAGCTTCACGGGGGCCCCTGTGGTGTGGAGCACCAGGCAATTGCCCTGCTACCCCTTAACGCCGGCCCTGACTTTTATATGCAGAAAACCAGTTCTTGGGCACAAGTGGACCATGGGGGTGGAGGTGCGGGGGTCAGTAAGAAAAAGGCGGAGAACCCCTGCAGTAGCGTGAGTCGAGGACTAAGAGCGGGAACAGATATTGGTTTCATATCAGGACAAAGATTTTGGTGACGATGAAATTTTCAAGCCAACATGCTTTTTTTTTTTTTTAAAGCATGCTCCGTGGTGAGAAATCTAAAGTCTCCCCAAATAGTGCAACCTTTTGAGGAAGAGAGAGTGTGTGTGAACTTGTGTGAAAGGAATCTGTGAAAAAAATTGCATAGTTTTTTTTTGTTTTTTTGGGTGTGTGTCTGTGTGGGAAAAAAATTGTTCATACTTATTCCCATCTCTGCCACCGATCCAAAGCCCACTGAAATCAACAGGAGTCTTTCCACCGGCTACAACAGTCTCTAGATCAGACCTGCTAACAGAAACTGTCTCTCTCTCTGGGTGTGCATATGTGCGAGTGAGAAAGAGAGAGAGAGAGAGAGACCCTTGTTTATGAAGGGGGAGCAGTATATTTCACGGTTAATGTGTATGTATTAATTTATTATATCTAGACATGAGCTGGAATTGCCATGAGCTGATACACTCTGAAGAAATCAATTTAAACCATCTAAATTAGTAGGGAACTGCCTCTGATCAGGGATTAATGCAGTGAAATAATATCAGCCAGATTCCCCTAAATCTGTAATGTCATTCTAAGCAGCACCCTGCAACATGGCAGTGACCCAGACACAAAGTAACAGTGGGCTCTCAAATTTGCCATGCCTGAGAGGTAGCATGACCCTGCCTGACTCACCCCAGCTCTCAGGGCACTAAAAACTACACAGGCAGTTCCGAGCTCTCCTGTTCTGCAGGTTTCCCTGCTATGCCAGTGTCCTTTCTCTCTCATTTCAGGATGGTACCGTGCATCTTATCTACGGGATCCTTGAGAAGCCAGTCCGTTCTCTCCAAGCCATCAACATCTCTGCCCTCCACAAGGGGCTGCAGAGGGTGCAGCTGCTGAAACCCAACATTAGTACCCCGGAACTGCCCAGGGACATGAAGACCATGGAGATCAGAGCCCCTGACGTGGTCATTCCCAGCCAAGAGACCACATACTGGTGTTATATGGTGGAGCTTCCAGACAGCTTCCCAAGACATCACATTGTCATGGTAAGAAGGAGGAGAGTTTTTCTGTAGGAGAACAGGGATGTTTTCCTTATAGCTAATCTGTTAAAGCTCAGGCAAGTTGTCTCCATCCCCTTAGCCTCTAGTGGAGGTGTTCCTCTATTCTTTCATTCATTGGCCAGCATCCTGGATAAACAGTGCTCTCTGTGCTCCAAAGCCAATCCTTGAGGTCCTCCTCTTTCTCAAGGCTGCACCTTCCAGAGGTATCAGCCACATAGCAGCTTCCCCACGGCTTGGTATCCCCACACCCAGCCTTCCTCCATGACCTCTCTCCTAATGGCAATGTCCACTAGGATTCCCCCTATTACTGGCTGCAGAATCCAAAGACCAAAGGCTTCTCAGCAGGGTGGCAGGAGGTGGGAACTTTGTGGACAGGAGCACTGCTCTTCTCTCCTGAATTGTCACAACAGGCACTACAGCGATCGCTTGTATGGAAAAGGAAAGTGTAAGATGTATTTTTAGTTTCTTGTCATATGATGTAGCGGTTGGAAACACATTCCACCTGGATACAGTTTTCTTCACTTCCAGTCTTCAACCATTGTATATCATTGCTGGACATTGTTGAACAGCTTCCACATTCTGCATCAGAGGTGGCTGCCTTTCAGTGGTGGGTGAAGCCAGACATCTATATCCTCGGTATCTCCATCTAAACACAAGAAGTTTGTAAAGCGTTTTGAGATATTGTATGTGGTTACTATATAGAAACAGAGATAGTATGGTGATAGGAACTTCAGATAATTGTAAGGTCCTTATCACCCATTATTAATACTTGTGCCTTCTTCTCGGATGCCCCTTTTGTAGTATGAGCCAGTGATCACGGCAGGCAATGAAGCTATAGTCCATCATATGGAAGTCTTCCAGTGTGCTGCAGAATTTGACAGCTTTCCACATTACAACGGGCCCTGTGACTCCAAGATGAAGCCGGACCGACTGAACTACTGCAGACACGTGCTTGCAGCGTGGGCCATGGGCGCTCAGGTGTGCAAACGAGAGCCGTGGCGGGTGCACCGACTCTCACATTCATTTCAGATGCTTTTCTTTTGTCTCACTTTCTTTCATATCAGAGAGGAATCAGGACCAAGCCCTGGGATGTGAACACCCCTGACATTTCGTGGTGCTCAAAATCTGGATCCCAGTATTGGGGTTTGGGCTCATTCTTGTTTAATATCCCCGCCCCCCACCCAGACCTCGGGCATAGGCGGGATCCTTAGCTGGTATCACTGAAGTGACCAGAGCTATGCCAGTTTGTACCAGCTGAGGGTCCTTCCCATACGCATGCAGTATAAGAACGCTCTGTCAGAGTGGCAGACACCTAGCCGTTCACACACTCGTTTGGGATGAGACACAGTTGTGGGCCAGAGAATGATCTCCCCCTTCCATACTTTCCTCTCTAGCTTTTTCTGCCTGGCTCCATGGATCGGCTGCACACAACCTGCTCACATTCTCTCCTCCTCCTGCTTACAGGCCTTCTACTATCCAGAAGAGGCAGGACTTGCCTTTGGCGGTCCGGGCTCCTCCAAATATTTACGGCTCGAGATTCACTACCACAACCCTCTGGTGTTCAAAGGTAAGCAAGCCTTCAGGGGCCTATGGATATGGGGCCAGCAACTCACGTACATGCCAGACTCTTGAGCGCAGCTTGACCCAAGGGGGAAAAAAAATCTATAAAAGCTCTTTAGCTTATTGTTCCCCAGGCACTAATATACTGAGGCCAGAACACTCCCAGGCTGTCCTCCTGTGGGATGGCATCCTGCCCTCCCAGGCTCATTCACCGGCAAGGGAACCCACGTTTCCCTAAAGGACTGGCTGTCTATACCTGCACACACCCCCAGCTCAGGGAGAGGGGTGCCGGCCTGCAGCCAGACATCATTGCCTTAAGTAGAGGCAGGTGAGGCATAGCAGGGGAACATGTCATGGAAAGCAGCTCCTACCCAGATCCCTGCAGAGCCTCAACCCAGCAAAGCACCCTAGCGGGGCTGCCAGTGGGACGTGGGGAAAGCAAGCCCTCACTTTTACAACCTACTAGCTAGACTCTGCTGGGTTCCGCTTTCTCTGCTCATGTCAGCACAGGGCCCTGTACTTTTAACCCAGCTGAGGCCAAGAAATACTGGAGACCTCATGCAAAAGGCCCTGCCTGTGAGACTTGTTCACAGATAGGAGAGGTTTGGTCTGGATCCCAATCTCCCCAGCCTTGTCTGGCTTGGCTTGTGCTCTCCCTCGTATGAGCCCCTACACGCTGCAAACTTGCCATGCAGTCTGGCACCATGCAGCACAACTGGCAGGCTATGCACGGTTCAGGACTGCAGTAGCCAGGGGTGGGTACAAAGGGACCTTTCAGATCTGGACTGAGAAGCCTTGGCAGAGCTGTTGAACTTCTGCCTTCACCATGCCTGGCTCAAAGCAAAGTTATCAGTCCCTCAGATTGGAAGGTGCAGATGGAAACATTTCTTCGTAGTCTTTCCAAACAGAACGTGAAGCCAATAACATTGGAGCTTTCAGGCAGTTATTTGCCTAACCAAATACAATCACATCGAGAGAGACACACAGAAATTCTGCACAGAAGCAAGGTTGCAGAGCCACCTGTTAAGTGTTAAGAGGTCGTTTTGGAGTGGTCTACCTGAAATAGTTCCCAGCTAGACTAGCCTCATTATAAACAGATATCCTGGCTGGGAATAAATAACAAGAGCATAAATGGTTAATACTGGGCACTTATCTTACCTTTCAGTTGAGGATCTAAAAATGCTCAGACGATTAAGTTAGCCTCCCAACCCCTCCGCCCCCAGGAGGCAGGTCAGCATTATTACCCCCAGTTCACAGATAGGGAAACTAAGGCACAGAGTGGTTAAATGACTTGCCCAAAATGTCACACACAGTGGCAGAAATAGACCCTAAGAATAATGATTACTAGCCCTGGACAAGGCAACCTCAGAATTAGGCTGCACATTCTTTGCCCCATATTTATAGGGACCTCTGACCATAGTATTTGAGCTCATTGCCTCGGTGAGATAGGGCAGTGCTGTTACCCCCATTATACAGCTGGGGAACTGATGCGCAAAGCGGCTAAGGGACTTACCCAAGGTCACACAGGAAGCCCATGGCCAAGCAAGGACTTGAGCCCAGGTGCCTCAAATCCTAGGCTAATGCTATAACCACTAGACCATCCTTCCTGCCTGTGGGGAGTGAAAACATCTTCCTTTCCCAGGTATGCAAACTCTTGGTCTTTCCACCACTGCTCTCAAACACTGGGGCTGAATTTCATTACCGAGGGAGAAGTCTGGGTGGGAGTGGGATGGGGGAGACAATTTCCAAGTGAATAAATAGCATTTCTTGTTTGATACCTTTGACAGTCGACACATTTTTTAAAAACTCCACTAAATTACCAAATTTCTCCATTTACATCAAATCAACTCACTTCATGAATATCCCAGAGTATTTTTAGGAGGCCAGAGCATATGTACGGCAGATCAATCATCTCACATTCCGAGACTCGAGAAGCAACACGTCTATAAATATACAGCTCGCTCCTTTCATTATTTTAACCGCTTTTTCCTTTTAACCAATAACTTCGCCCCATTTATTCTGATCTGTTTGATGAATCCAACCCAGAGACAGATACTCATAAATAAGTACGAGCCCTCTTGGCCCTGGCTAATCCGGCCTTTCCCTTTACAGCTCACACCTGAAAAACGTGCCAAGGGCTGGCGGGGGGGGAACCATTGGTGCTAACATTGTTTTCGCTGTTAAGAGAACCCAGGAGTCCTGTCGCCCATGCTCTTGCTCTAATCACCAGTTGACCATGTGTCACAGAGACAGTGGCATCATCAGAACTGCTTCACCTACAGCCGCACTGTTCTCTACCCTTCTAGTAGCAACGTAAATAGGGTGCATAATGCAGCTGATTTCACTTGAGCCGTACAGTGGGGCTTTAACCCTAAACCTGCAGATCTGAAAGCATGAGCTTCAACTACTTGTGCTAGAGGTCTAAGTCCTTTAGCTGGAAGCAGTCATCAACGCCTACATCTCTTATGCAGCCCAGTCACCGGAAGGTGGGTTACACCAATATCCCTCCCAGACGGGCTGGAGATTTGTCGCACTTCTACCCACACAGCTGCCAGGGTGGCTGCAATTTCTGCTTTTTATTCCCATTGTTGGAGAGAAAAAGTCTTCACTGGGGAAGGGCTCCGTGCTCCCATCCGGACAAACCCACCCCAGAAAGGCTCCCCAAGTGATCATCTGTATTTTCAACCGTCCCTCCAAAAGGACTGGACAAAGCCCCCTTCTATGCCTGTTGACCCTGCTGGCAAAAGAGCCAGCAGGACTGTGCCATGCTTAGTTTGTGTCCCTCCACGCTTTGGGATGAAGGCCTGGTCTATACTTGAAACATTTGCTGGTATAGCAATGTCATAAGAACATAAGAACGGCCAGACTGGGTCAGACCGAAGGTCCATCTAGCCCAGTATCCAACAGTGGCCAATGCCAGGTGCCCCAGAGGGAATGAACAGAACAGGTAATCATCAAGTGATCCATCCCGTGTCGCCCATTCCCAGCTTCTGGCAGACAGAGGCTAGGGACACCATCCCTGCCCATCCTGGCTAATAGCCATTGATGGACCTATCCTCCATGAACTTATCTAGTTCCTTTTTGAGCTTGGCCTTCACAACATCCTCTGGCAAAGAGTTCCACAGGTTGACTGTGCGTTGTGTGAAGAAATATTTCCTTTTATTTGTTTTAAACCTGCTGCCTATTAATTCCATTTGGTGACCCCTAGTTCTGTGTTATGTGAAGGAGTAAATAACACTTCCTTATTTACTTTCTCCACACCCGTCATGATTTTATAGACCTCAATCATATCCCCCCTTAGTCATCTCTTTTCCAAGCTGAAAAGTCCCAATCTTATTAATGTCTACTTATACAGAAGCCATTCCATACCACTGATCATTTTTGTGGCCCTTTTCTGAACCTTTTCCAATTCCAATAACGTCACTCAGGGATGTGATTTTTTTTTTTTTTTAATGACGAGCCTCTACTGGCAACCCCCCTAGTGTAGATGCAGTTATATCAGCAAAAAGTCCTTTCACTAGTCGAGTTTATTTTGTTTGGAGAATTGGTATAAACGATACTGGCAAAAGCCCTGTTTTCCGGTATGAGCCGCATCCCCACTAGGAGGGTTTACTGGTAGAGCTCTACCTGCAAGCTTTTCTAGTGTAGACGAGGCCTAGGCCTCAGGGTGGCATCTCATCACCAGTCACGCTCCCCTGCCTGAGGGGAGTGAAAAGCAATCACGATCCAAGGCTAACACACAGCCTCATGCAGAGTTACCGCTGGAGGGTTTTTCCGAGAGAGGCAGCAAACCCAACCCGCTGCAAATCTTATCCAAACCCTGCAGCCTCACAAGTGTCTTTCTGTTGGGCTCTGGTGAGAAGGATTGGTGCACAAGAACCGATGGCAAGCCTTGGAGTCCCTTTCTGCTTTTCCCAGAGCTGAAACTCTTTCTTCGCTCAGATCAGTTTGCAGAGGGTTAAGACAGGATCAGTAACCCGGGGGGGAGGGGGCATTATGCAGTGACATTTCACTAAGAGAGCGCCAGGATCTTCTCTGTTAATTACAGCCTGGGGGCGGAACGCCATCAGCCGAGTAGAAGTTATATCACAGTACACATTTCACAGCCCTTAATCTCCATAATCGCTTCCACCACCCCAGCTTGGCACTAGAAAGTTAAAAAAACTGCACACACCCAATCCCACTCTCTCACACACACACTAGGGTGACCAGACGTCCCAATTTTATAGGGACAGTCCCGATTTTGGGGGCTATTTCTTATATATGCTCCTATTACCCCCCCACCCCCGTCCCGATTTTTTACACTTGCTGTCTGGTCACCCTAACACACACCCTACCAATAACAACATAGCCTTGGTTTTTGTAACAGCCATCCAGTTAGAACAGATACGATCTCCCAAATTCCCAAGAGCATTCTCAGAAGAATTCCCAGGCCTGTCCTTCTGGGCTCTTTATCATTTGCTCGCCCAAAAAACAGGGCATGCAGGATGGACTACGCTAACCAAAGCTCCTAGCACATCCAAACTGCACACAACTTTCCACCTGGGGAGAGGCATGGAGAAGGAAGGACGGATGCTAGTCACCTTGCTTTATACATTGTTGGAAGGTGCTCGCATACCATGAACACAAGGACCTGAATGGAATAAAATGGAATGCGTCACGTGCATGAAAGAAAAATTAGAGGGCCCCCAAATGCCCTAGGTTCAGTCCAGATCCAGGGGCATTTCCTGGGCAAATTCATTTCGCTGGGAAATGCTGGCTTACTCCCTTCTAATCTCAGGAAGGGTGGCTCTGCTCTCCCTTCAGGCTATGAACTTACCTGAAGGCATAGCAGTAATTTCATGAATTAATTGCTAACGGAACCTGGTTGTAATGAGTGGGATGCTCAGAGCTGATGCATGTTTGGGGAGGAAGCCAGGAGACTAGGGAGATGATGGATTCAGATAGGTGCTGCATTCCAGTCCAGGGCGATATAGAGTACAGAACAAGAATCTCATCCTTTCAACAACTGGAGGTTCAAATCTCAGTCTAGGCTGGGTCCAGAATAGTTTGTTGGGGGCAGAAGAGAAGCAGAAAGGTACAGAATAAAAAAGGCACCATCTCTTGGGTGGGATTTGCAAGCAGGCTATTCACTGGCCTTGGTAATTGGGAGGAAGGTTCTCCCCACTCCGCAAGGGAAAACAGAAGCCTTCATTGGAATGTACTGGATGGCTGTCCATTCATAAATCCCAAGGCCAGAAGGGACCATTGTGATCATCTAGCCCGACCTCCTGCATAGCTCAGACCAGAGAACTTCCCCCCAAATCAGTCCTCGAGCAGATCTCATCATGCTGCAGGGGGGACGCTCACGCCAATCAGCACCAAGACTTGCTAGAAGAGCTTTTTTTGGAACCCAGGGGACACAAATGGGTTCTGGGCCAAATGTCTCTAATTCATAAAGGGCTCCGTTATGAGCCTGGTTTTGGGACTGCACAGGGGAATGAGGGAAAGCAAGGAGCCCTCTTACTCCTCAGCATGAGATACTCCCACATCGCCGGTCCCTGCACGGGATTCTCCCGCCCACCTGGGTAGGGATGGGGAGTGGGGGGAGCTTTGGCTCCTACCCTACCCCCTTCCTGCATGCAAGCCAGTGCACTGGGAAGCAAGCTGCTCAGAATAGGGCAATCACAGCGTACATCCCCTATGGCGCTAGTGGGGAACCAGGCTCTCGTTTGTGTCTCAGTCACAGGCTGGTTCCTGCCCTGCTCTTGGGGCAGTGAAGCTACATGCCCATCCTTACTCGGGCTGCATCGTCAGGCTACAGTTCAGCCCCAAACTGGGATAAAAGTTCTGCAACTTGAGCATGGAGAGTCCTAGTTCAGAACCAGGGTGGGGCTGCAAAAGGCAAGAGGAGAGAGAGACTTCCCACCCCTAGGTCTGAACTGAGTTCTGGGTCCCTCCAAAATCTGCCTCCCAAACATACTCCTACCTGCTGTGGAGTCACGTGGGCTTCCAAAGACATTCCCATTTGATTCCCCCTTCTCCTCTTAGTGAGCTGCCGGTCCCTGGGCTGGTGACCTTTCCAGATAACCAGGCATGTATTTGCAGACCATTTAGTCCAGTCTCTTGCTGCAGGTACAACTGCCTATGGAGAGAGGGGAGTAGAACAAGACGAGTACAAGGAATGAATGCAGTCAGCCAGCAAATGGAAGAACTGAGCTGCTCTCCTGACGCTTAGTGCGCTGAAGTTTAATTTTTCATGTCTGACATTTCCCCACGTGCGACTCTTACTCCCGCTGCGATTTGCAACGCGGTGTCACGTCGTGTTCTCTTGCCTCGCCAGGTCGCCAGGACTCCTCGGGGATTCGCCTTTATTACACAGCCACGCTGAGACGCTATGACGCTGGCATTATGGAGCTGGGCCTGGTCTACACGCCGGTGATGGCTATCCCACCTGGGGAAGCTGGTTTCCTCCTGAACGGGTACTGCACAGATAAATGCACCCAAGTGGTGAGTACGCTAGGGCCTGTCAGAGGTCCACACCAGCTCTTCCAACTCAGCGGCATGAGGCATGTCTATGCCAAGAGAGGCCCAAGTGCTTGTGTTTACTTGGATGAGATGACTGAGCTTTAGAGGAACTGGCCAGGAAGTAGCTTCTTCTCCTTAGCGTCTGTGCAGTGTGCCCCAGGTGGCCAGGATTCATCACCGAATTTGGTCCGCTGGTTGGATCATTCGCTTCCCCGGCTTGGGCCAGGTACTGATGGAGTAAGTAGCTATTGCGCAGGAGTATGTCCAGAGTACCCCCAGGTCATGCACTGCTGTGCAGTTCTTGGAAGAAAGCGAATCGGGAATGAAAGAAAAGTTGCAGCAACTCACTGTCTTTTATGCTGCAGTGAGGCGTCCCCCACCCCTCACAATAGCATTTTTAAAGTGGCTTTGCAACGTTGAGGAATGTATCTTTCCCATTCCACTGTTAATCTCCCATACAGATAGAGGACAAGGTGAGGTTGAAGCCATTTGCCCAACGCCCCAGAGTCGATGGCAGAACAGGGACTGGAACTCAGGCCTTCCAGGCTCCCAGCCCCATACTTCAACTGTAATGTTTTTAATATAAAAATGATGCTAGGTGTAGGGGTAGCAAAAAATGCCCACAGTGCTCTAAACACATCCATGCATCTTATTTAATCTATAATTGACAGGAGACTGACAAGCAGTAACATGATGGGGGAAGGGGTCCTTGTGCCCGTAGGTGAGGGCTGGGTAGGTTGACATCAAAGTTCCCATGGCAATAGGGTGTACCACAGGTGTCCTTGCACAACATTCCCCCTCGTGGTGAAGCACCTGTGTGTATGAGGTATTGCTGATCTCACTTCCTTACAGTCACTGAGCTATCAACATCCAGTTCGTTGCCTGATAAAATGCTTGTGAGTACAACAGAAACCCCACATTCCAGCCTATTCTACTGTGAGCACTATGGAGTTCCATTATAACAAATGTTGTTTAAAACAAAGACCAAGGAGTGTTCTCCAGATGTTCAGAAAATGCCGACAGCCCATTTGAAGTCAATTCTTCTTGACAGCCATCTGCTCAATCTCCCTGGTCTAAGAACCATTCCCTGTCTCAGAAAACTTATTACTGGAGTTTCAACTCTTAAAAGGTGTAATTTTTCCCTAAGACAACACAAGCTACTTCCATTTTCAAGCCAAATGAATACTGCACACTGGGTAGATGGGCACCATGCAATTATACAAATCACCTGCCAATTTATCTATCCATTGGGGTTTATGTTTCTCCCATTTAAAGGGCCATCACCAAATTTAATTTAACATTTAGTTACAGTGGCACCTGTGATGTGCTACATTTCAGGAGGGGCAGGTCCCTGCCCACAAGAGATCACTGTCAAAGACCTGACATAGAGGTAAGCAGAAGTTAGGGAAAAAAACAACAAACAAGGGATTTTTAATTTGAACGTGACGGGGAATATGGTCTGGATTTGGAATCTCTCTCTAATATGTTTTCTCAATTTCCACTGTGACATCAAGGAGGTTTTAAACAGTATTTTTAGAGGCCCTACCCAAAAACAATCGTTGGTGCTGTGCGCTAACAAACATAAGGAAGCCCACAGTGCCCGGCCAAGGCAGCTTCTGCTGCATTAGAAAGTGGTGGGCGGTAAATCAGGGCTGGACAGACTGAACTGCTAAAATAACATTTATTTTCAAGCTTCTAAGAGATTATAAAAACAAAACTCCATTTAAAATTACTTGACACTGTCCCTTTAAGTGCCTGCCACGCCCCTCCCACGGAAGCCGGCTCAGTTCCTCAAGAGCACTGATGAGAGCTCTTTGGGAAAGAGGGAGTGGTGTTGGTTGATTTAATCATTCGTCATTATTTCGGCCCGTACAAGCCTGGATATTCCCATGGGATTGTTTTTCCAGGCTCTGCCCCCGGCTGGGATCCACATCTTTGCCTCCCAGCTCCACACTCACCTGACGGGAAGAAAGGTGGTGACGATTTTGTCCCGAGAAGGGCGAGAAAGGGAAGTTGTGAATGCGGACAATCACTACAGCCCTCACTTCCAGGTACTCTCCTTTCCCCATTGCCCGCAGCATCAGACCATCATGAAAACAACCCTGCCCTCAATCAATGGGCGGTCTTACCTCCCACACACACGGGTGCAAATCGGATTCAGTGCTGCTCCTAACTAGACTCATCAACGCTGAACAGGGAAGATGGGGTAGCAAAGGGGGAACTGGTTGCATCTAACTCCAGCGTTGTTGTTGTTCTTCTTTTAGGAGATCCGCATGTTAAAGAAAGTGGTTTCTGTCTTCCCGGTGAGTGTCAGCAGAAGGAACTACAACAGCTCCCAAGTATAGAAGACGCTTTGCTTCAATAGCAGTACCTGGGGGAAGTTCTTTGGCCTGTGTTATATGGGCAATCAGATTACATGATCATAATGGTCTCTTCTGGCCTTTAAAATCGGATTCCCTGACATGATTTTATCCTACCGGCTCTGATAATAAGTGAAGCCGATAACCCTTAGACAGACAGACTTTCTCACAGGACTCAGTGCCTTAGCATCTAAGCACTTGCTAGGTAAATCAGCTCTGCACGGTGAGGTTTGATGTTGCTGCGTGGGCAATGTTCACTTTGCACGCGCCATCGGCACTCGGTGAGAGGTAGCCATGGAGCGGATGGTGCTGAATTAGCCCATCTCCCTCAGCGACCCTGCAAGCGTTACTGCCCACAAGTCTCCAGCCCTGGAAGACTCTCGGCCTCCAGCTACGAGCCAGCCTCCGCACGGAGCACTCCAGCCCCGGCAGGAGCTTACCATACACATGTAACGGGAAAGAAATAGTCAGCATGATCACTAAATATACACAATCGGAACCCATTTGTCCAACAGCTATTCCAGGGATCTCGCCATCACATTATCATCATCAGCAGGAATAGACGAAGTTGGGCAGAACACACATTCGTGACAGAAAAATTCACAAATGCCCCTGCAAAATTTCATGGCTGTAGAAATGTTCTGACCAGCTTCATTAGTAACTCCAGGGGAGTTAACCCAGGGGCCTGACTGTACACCAGGGAAGTCAATGGGAGTTAGTAACAGAGGGTCCTGTGGCACTTTTAAGACTAACAGAAGTATTGGAGCATAAGCTTTCGTGGGTGTATGAAGTGGGCATTCACCCACGAAAGCTTATGCTCCAATACTTCTGTTAGTCTTAAAGGTGCCACAGGACCCTCTGTTGCTTTTTACAGATTCAGACTAACACGGCTACCCCTCTAATGGGAGTTAGGTAGCTAACCTGCTTAGGCACTTCTGTCAATGCCACTAGCCGCCTAGCTGCAGCTTTAGGTGCTTAAATCTGGCTCTGAGTTCCTTAGAAAGTAGGGAGGTGGAGGAAAATCTCGCAGGGCAATGACTTGAACCCATCCCTTCAGAGAATGTGTGTTCATCACAGTTACTAACACTCAGGCCAGCATGTTGAAGGGAAGCAGGTTGCCTGACATGTCAACTAAGCTGCTGCGGGGGTGGAATCTGGGAGAGGTCTCCCACGGCACCATTCATGGCTCTGCGCATATAAGAAATAAGATGTCAGATGTAATGCTGTAGCAATATGTGCTTAAACACACAGGGTGATGTTCTCATAACAACCTGTATGTACAACACAGAGGACAGGAACCAAGCAACTGTGGTAAGTGTGCGTGCACACGCGAGCACACACATGTTTATGTGCGTACGAGACAGGGAGACACAGGTGGAAGGTTGCAGTTGACAACAGTGTACGCTGAAACTCTGGGTCAATGGGATTAGTTGAGTGCTGCAGGTTAGACACATGCTTAAATACCTTGCTGAAGTGGCCTTCAGCCGTTTCCCTGAGGAATAGTGGTCGAGGAATTGTTCACTCCTTGCGATCAGTCTCCTTAGGTGATACACCTCTACCCCGATATAACGTGACCCGATATAACACAAATTCGGATATAACGCGGTAAAGCAGTGCTCCAGGGGGGCGGGGCTGCGCACTCCGGTGGATCAAAGCAAGTTCGATATAACGCGGTTTCACCTATAATGTGGTAAGATTTTTTTGCTCCCGAGGACAGCCTTATATCGAGGTAGAGGTGTAAGTGAAAAGGAATGTGGGTCATTCTAATTCCCATTACAAGCCACTATCCCAGTTACTAATTGTTATTAAAGAAGGTCACATTGTGTTCTAATATCTGCAGCAAGAGAGAATATCAGATATGCAAGCTAAAGGGACAGAGCTAAATATTACTGAGGGATAGCAGGAAGTCTACATATTATTATACACCACACAATCTAGCACGTTTATCGGTCCCTGCTAAAGAGGGGTAAGATCCAGATGAACAGAGGGTGCTACAGATTAGAATGCTCGGTGTGTGGGTGTGTTGACCTTTGGTTTAGAGGTTCACATCTCTGGGTAAAATCACAACGGTTTAGTGCAGTTAATGTTGATCAGGTTTTTATGGCATCTATACATACATCAGGGTTCAGCGGGAAGCTGTTTGCCCATCCCATGAGAATATTTGATATTTTGAAAAATCCTCCAGTCCCAAATCGGGAGGAAAAAAAATCAAAATTTGAAATTTTCATTTTTATTTTGCCCTAAATTTTTTGCCCTTTTAAAAAAAGTTTCTAAATGAAAAGTCATTTCAGACTGAAGAACCAAAACTTTTTGTTGCAGAAATGTTGAAATGGGACATTTTGACAATTTAAAAACCTTTGCCCTCCCCAACATTTTTCGAGTTGGGAAATTTGTCGAAACCAATCCTTGCCTGTGAACAGTTTTGGTTTTACCAAATTGGCATTTTTCAGTGAAAAAATGTTTCCTGGAAAATTTTCCAACCAACTCGGTCGCTGAGATTTCCTATTTGAAACCCAACAACGGTCACAGCAGTGTTCTGGAGCAGATAATGCACACGAGACAGGAATAAACAGCGGCTGCTTATTTTTGACTGGGGAGGGTGCCCCGAAATCTGCCCCCACGCTTGTTTCCCTTCTTCTTGCAGGGCGGGTTTAGCATCACGGACGAGATGTGCGTCAACTACGTGCACTATTACCCCCAGACGCAGCTGGAGCTATGCAAGAGTGCGGTGGATTCTGGCTACCTGCAAAGATATTTTAATCTCGTGAACAGGTACGGACGGAGTCCCCACACGGCTCGGGCTGGGCCTGAGCATGTTGCGAGTGGATGATGATTAACAACAAGCTGTTTGCTAGTAAAACTAAAAATAGGTAATGCCGTGGTTTAAAACATCTGTTATGCAGTAGCAGTGCTGGGTGCATGCAGGCTCAGGGGGAGCTGAGGAATGATTCATACTTGCGTGCTTTAGCAAAAGCCCCAAACCGGCTGTTTTTAAAAGAAAGGTTCGGCGAGAGATCACTGGGAAGGGGACATCTTTTTGGTGAGGGGCTTCTTGCAAGACACGGTGCATGGGGGAAACGTGGGAGCCATTATTGTTTGCAAAAGTGGTCGTGGGCCCTTCACTTTCCAATGCTCAGTTTACAGGGGAACTTAACACTATAGAGTACGCACGGCAGCAAATGGTAAAACCCCAATAAAGTTATAGAGGCTCACAAGTCAGGCTGATCACAATGGTCCCTTATAATCGATGAATCTATAGACTGCTGAAGATCACTTTACTTCTGGCCACACATCCAGGTGCTTAGATAACCCTCATCGTCACAGGATCTGAGTTCTGATAATGGGCCCAATATACACAAATAAAGATAGTCCCTGCTCCAAAGATCCTATATAGGAGACTGTGATTGTATAAGGTACTGAGTGTGTCCTGCGCTGTGCTGAGCAGTCACCGTTTTCAGTGAGTTAAGGACACTCAGCACCTTTCAGGATCAGGCCCTAGTCAAGGAAGAATTAGCCCCGTCCTGCATGGAAGAGGAATCAGTACAGCTCTGCTCTGCTGAACTACACCTCTACCTCGATAGAACGCTGTCCTCAGGAGCCAAAAAATCTTATCGCATTATAGCTGAAACTGCGTTATATCGAACTTGCTTTGATCCGCCGGAGTGCGCAGCCCCACCCCCCCAGAGCACTGCTTTACCGCGTTGTATCCGAATTCGTGTTATATCGGGTCGCGTTATATCGAGGTAGCGGTGTATTTAACTGATATTTCTCCCACATTAGGTTTAACGACGAGGAGATCTGCATGTGCCCACAGACCTCCGTCACACAGCAGTTTTCTTCCATCCCTTGGAATGCGTTCAACAGAGACGTTCTGAAATCTCTCTATGACTTTGCGCCGATCTCTATGCACTGCAATAAATCCTCAGCGGTTCGTTTCCCGGTATGTATGGGTCCCTCCAAGTCACCCATCTGAGAGCATAACTGGACTGTGACCCTGCTGAAACAGGCCCTTTGGACTCAGCAGGGCTGCTCCCTGTGCGGATGCAGAGTTGGAGGTGCTGAGGCTGGTGACAACAAAAAGTTTGGTGCCGCCTGCCTAGCCTTGCCGAGTGGCGGCACAGCTAAGGGGGTGGGAGATGGATTTCATTTTCTCTCAGGCCTCATCAGATTCCTTACTGAGGCCCAATCCATGACGCACGTGTAAAGCTATTGAAGACAGGAGGCTTTCCACAGATTCACCGTTTGGCCTATAGAACCTTTTTTTTACTGGTGTTGATCCATGAGATGTAAAGAACTCAGTTTGACTGCAGGGTTGAAGTGAGTTAGGCACCTACGTGGTTTTGAAAATCCCAAGAGGAACTTATCTGCATCTTTAGGATCCTAAATAGCTTTAAAAATTGGGCCCTAGACGTTGCTGTGTTAGAATGTAGAATGCTACAGTGACGGGCGCAGTATAAACACCTAGTTATTAGGTAAATTAAATTAGATGAGTCTTATTTGCATAAGTCCGTTTCTAGAGTTACTTCGCAGAAGTCACCTTTAAAGTAGAAATTCCTCCAGAAACAAGGGAAAATAAAGGGCTATTTTCAGAATTTTGGAAATTCAATAGAACTAACCCATTGAACACAAAGTCAGTGAGATCAGAGGCCGGGAGGCAGTATGGCCTAGGGACTAGCACGCTGCACTGCACCGGCACTCAGGAGACCTGGGTTCCAGTCCTAGCTCTGCTGCTGGGTGACTTTGGGCAGCCACTTCCCTGCTCTGTGCCTCAGTTTCCCCACCTGTGAAATGATCATGTACTTTTGAGCTCTTTGAATCCAAAACACCATATTCAAGGGATGATGATGATGCAGATTGAGCACAGTTTTCGGTCCCTTATCACCATCACTTCCCAGTGCCATTTCTGGTCAGAATCATAGAATATCAGGGTTGGAAGGGACCTCAGGAGGTCATCTAGTCCAACCCCCTGCTCAAAGCAGGACCAATTCCCAACTAAATCATCCCAGCCAGGGCTTTGTCAAGCCAGGCCTTAAAAACCTCTAAGGAAGGAGATTCCACCACCTCCCTAGGTAACCCATTCCGGTATTTCACCACCCTCCTAGTGAAAAAGCCTAATATCCAACCTAAACCTCCCCCACGGCAACTTGAGACCATTACTCCTTGTTCTGTCATCTGCCACCACTGAGAACAGTCTAGATCCCTCCTCTTTGGAACCCCCTTTCAGGTAGTTGAAAGCAGCTATCAAATCCCCCCTCATTCTCCTCTTCTGCAGGCTAAACAATCCCAGGTCAGGACAATAGAATTGTCGATGACACCTGAAATTATTTTTGGAGCAGGTGTAATCCAAAGCAGTGGGGAGAAACAGAAAACAGATTTAAAAGGAGGAGCTTCAGCTCCCAATAAGATTGTTTTAACAAAGTCTCCATTTGAGCTGGCAGAGTCCTGTTAAACTCACTGGGCCAAATTCTGCTCTCAGGAGGAAATTTGCCCCTGTGCAGAGCACCAGAACAGACTAGTCATGTCCCAGTTAAACCCTAATTTGAGGATTTAAGTGGCGCACAGACATTGTGCTAGCTGTCCACATGGGGTGATTTTCTCAGTTACTTCCATTGAAGCCACTGAATTTAATGGGGTTATATGAGGGCAACTGCGAAGAGAATTTGAAATTAGTGCAGAGCCGGCACTAACATAAAGCAGGCGATCTGGAGTCTAAACATAAATAAGAAAAGAAAAAGACCCAGAACTTCCCCCTCCTTCTCCATTTGTTTTTTTTAACTGAGTGGGATTTTAAGACATCTCATTTATTCCACAGAATTCCTGTCAAGAGAACACTAGCTTTTAATTAGCTACTTGCCTTTCTGCAGTTCAGTGATTCCAAGTCGGTCTTGATTTTCCGGAAGAACTCTGCTTTTAATTATTTAGTAAAATTAAAATCCCTTTCCTGCACAGAAGGTAGTTGGAGGTAACAGCTGTGTGTTGCAGTAGTGAAGGAGAGGGCACTTTCCTCTGACATCCACTTCTACAGGAGCTTGTAGAGTATTTATTTATTTAGATTTATAAACACACACACACACACACGAACAACTATTCTTATGGTCTAGACATCCTTGATGTAGCTTAACACAACAAATAGAGGATGTTACCTAAAACTTTGAGGTATGTAAGCTAGAGCTGTGCGAAATTTTTTTTTGACAAAACATTGTTTTTGCCCCAAAACACGTATTCACTTCAACAGACACATGTTGTGGATTGGTGCTGAAATCACCACATTCTGTCAGCCAAAAGAAAAACAAAATATCCAGAAACCTTTTGTTTCCACATTTTCTAAATAAAACATTTCGATTCCGAATGACTTGTGTCAAATTCTAAACCCATTTTATTTTTAAAAAGGTTAAAAACCTCAAAAATGAGACGAAATATTTTCGGAAGTTAATTTTTATGTATTTTTTTGTTGTTTAGCCAAACTATTAAAAAATGATTTCAGGTGGACACCAAATGAATTTTTCGGTGTGGCCACTGACCCAGAAAAACTCGGTTATTCGCACAGCTCTAATCGTGGCAGAACTGAGCAGGGGCCCAGAACTGGAAGCACAGATGCTGCTGCCGGGTAGGAGGTACAGTGTCAGATCTCTGCTGGGTCCTAGCCGGGAATAGCAGGGTTGCTGCAGGCTAGGAGATATAGTCACAGCTCTGTGCTGGATCCTAGCCTGGAATAGCAGCATTGCAGCTCAGGAGTGAGGTGCGTTGGCAGAGCTGGGTATTGGACGCGTACACGGTGCCTTTTCACACAACGACTAGCCAGTGCTGTTGAAGCACCTCACTGTCGTGGGTGCCAAAGTCACACCTACTTGACACGGTGAGATGCAGGGCTGCATTTCAGGAAAAGCCCGTTTTCAGCTTTCCTGTTGGTTTGCCATTCCAGTGCAGTCGCCCGCCCCTGGCTATGTAAAGCCTCCAGAGGAGATGGATCTCTGTTCCTCTTCTCTTTCGGACTAGTACTCTCCCTCTGCTCCTAGGCAGCCTGAATAATCACGGCCATTCGGGACAAATGATGGGCCACCCTGGTCACTGACTTCTCCAAAGCAGGATGTGCAGCTCCAGTGTAGGACAATCATCTCTCCCACCCCTTAACCCTAAACGGAACTCACCTCCTCCGGGAGCAGGGACTGAGTCCACATCCCAAAGCTCCATCCACTGTGATGGGTTGAGATGACTGAGGAGACCACAAAACCGGATCCACCACACCTCGCTTTGGATTTAAGTTAGGATCCTATGGGGGGGCGGGTGTATGTTAAAGTGGGGTAGGGTCAATGCTTCGTGTTGAAGAGCTACTGGAACTGTACAATGATCCTATGTTCTTATATGGCTTTAACACCGTGCAGATTTATAGGAGGGCTAAAGTGACAAAGCGGCGGCATGGCCGGGAGAGGCCCCAGTGCACACTCAGCTGCACTCCTAACACCTAATGTTAAACAACGATAATGATCTAGCCTCCTCTTTGAAACTGTAACCCATGGAGACCATACTTAGCCTGCCCACCCCGTGGCTGATTAGCAGAAACAGGCCGCGCTCTCAATGCTCAGGAGCAGACTTCCCCAGTCTGGACGTGTTCAGATCTACGGTTTGTGTTGGGCCTCGCTGGGTGGGACAAGCCGTCGGACACCCTGGGCATTCACGGCAGAGGATGCCTTTGCATACACAGCAAGATCCAGCTCTCCGTTCCTTTGCAATCTCAGTGTGAATCTTTCTCTCTGTCTCATGTCAGGCATGTACCTGCCTAACGACGCTCGCCCTCAGATTATGATGGCATTTATACCAGTGCAATCCCTCAGGAGCCAATGTAATTACACCATGGGCAGGAGCTTAAAGCAGAAGCCAGCCTACAGATTTCATTTGTGTTCATTACCATGCAGGCACCAAAATGACCAACCCTCATTATCTCTGTCTTAACAGCAGACTGAATGCAATTTGCAGTCGCACATGGTTTTTACCTTCTTTCCGCTCGTTAAGCTCTCTATCTAGCTAGGCTGCACATTAGCGAATGCGAGGAAAGAACAAGCTCTCAGGGATCAACGCCCGCAATGCAGTAGCTGCCTGTGCGTGCAGAGAGCGGGTGGAACCAGGTGACCATCATTTTCAGCGGGCCGTTACTCACAAATCGAGCTGTATTATACAACTGCCCAGGGGACGCTTGGGAGTCAAATGCTATGGAATCCAGAGCAGGCGAAATTCCAGCTCAGCTGGGATCCTGCCTTGCCTACCTCATGGTGCTTCTCCTCCCCAAAGAAATAGGGCCCGGCTTGGAGGATGTTCTAATCCCACCCTCTGACCACTAGGCAGTGCCTTCTAGTTACAAAGGAGAGTCAAATACTTTAAAAAAAAAAAATCACAGGCAGATTCTCAGCTGATGTAAAACCATGTAGCTCCACTGACGTAACAGAGAGAGGCTGATGGACACTCGCTGAGGAGCTGGGCCAAGGGCGTGCAATACGTTGCTCCAGTGTGCTGTGCCTGAATGGGAAAAATACGAGACCCCCTTTAAAAAAAAAAAGAGAAAGAAACAAATCACCATCTTAACTTCACCCCCCTCTTCCCCGGACTTTGGAATAGGTTGGTTCTTGATCCAGACCCATCTCTAACCTCCACCCCTACGTGTTCTCGTTATTTATTTGTGTTATCACAGTGACTGGCGCCGTGCTAGGTGCGGTACAAACACAGAACAAAAAGACCCAAGAGTTCACCTGCTAACATCTAACTCTCTCTGCAGGGCGAATGGGAGAAGCAGCCTCTGCCAAGGATCACCAGGGTGCTGCCGGAATCAGCCCCAAGCTGCCAGCCCGCCCTAGGGCCTCCTCCGGCACCCCCTGCTCTCGTCAACCTAGGCAGGGTAAAGGCAGAATGAACGCCCGGCGGCCTGCCTCCCCCGATGCGACGCCTCGATACTCGTCATCGCCGGGACGGGACGCTTCTCGGCACACAGGGTTGTTTGGGATTTGGTCCAGCTTTTGTAATGCTGCCCCGGTGGGCACATGTCAGACTGGCTCCCCTCCCAGTTGTATGGTCCATCACACAAAGAAAAGCCCTTACTCAAGGCGGCCTGGGCTCCACTCATGCGCTACTTTCACACCCCCGGGATGGCAGCGAGTGGGTGGGACACAAAGAACACCTCTCCATACACAGGCAGGCCCAGCGCCTGTGGCTTGTCCCCGAATCTCTGGGATGGCGGGGAGGATGCACCACCTGTCTAGAAGCCAAACAGACAAGAGCTTCTCCTACAGCGCCACCAGAGCGGAGGGATTTGCAGGTTACAGAGTTGGCTGCTGTTTCATCTAGACCCTAGGCCACCCTGGGAAGAACTCCGCCCTGTATTAGATACACCGAAGGGTCAGGAGGCCCAGTTAGCCAGGTGCTGTCCAGTGGGCAGAGGGTGGGACCGGGAAAACGTGAGTTCTAATTCCAGCTCTGATGCTGACTCGCCGTGGGACCTCTGCCTCAGTGTCCCCAAACACAAATAATCTATACTGTGCCACCTGCCTTGAAGGGGGCTCGCTAGGGCTAATTCGTTAAAGTTCAGCACGTACTCTGAAGAGGGCAAGTGCTATTATTAGTGGATTATTAGCAATGCCAGCGCTGAGTAATGCAGGCTGCCACCCCCGCAATAATAACGCTCAGGATTTCCATTGCGCTTTGCAGCCAGGCACTCCCTCCCCCCCCCCCCCCCGCCATGCTCCTGCTGGCCAGTGCTAGGTTATCGATAGGGAAACAGAGGCCCAGAGGGCAAGCTGCACTGGCCAGGGTCAGGCAGAGCATCAGCAGAATCAGAAGGCAACTGCTCCTGGCTCCTAGCCATGCACTCCCTCTTCCCCTTAGACTGGGTAATGACAAGCCCTCTTTTTACCAGAAGCCGCTGGCGTGGGCGCCACAGGCTGAGAGATGCTGACGTGCCACTGACAGCTCCTCTTGACATTTGCAGCACAGACCTGGGAATGTCTAATAGCCAAGGACAGGCGCTGTCTGCTGCGGCTCCTCCCCCTCCCACTCAGAGGGGCTCATTCCTATTGAGGGGACCAGATGCCAAGGGACAGGAACAAGCGATGCTTTCGGGTGAGGAGTTACAAGAGAGGGGGCCTCTCTGTCTCTGGCCGGGGAGGGAGGACAAACCACTTAGCAAGAGAAATGACTGTTAAATAGAGAAATGTACATTGGCACACACAGCTAAGCCAACAGCAGGACCCAAGGGAACGGGCCAGAACTTCAGCTGGGGTCAATCAGCATCCGTGGAATTTACGCCAGCTGGGGTTCTGTAGGAGCCTGAAGGAGAAATCCCCAGAGGAACAGAAAGAGGCCTGCGGTAGCGAAGAGGTGACTAACTCCTCCCCAGCCACTGCAGTACAGCCCACAAATTTCTAAGGCCTGGTCTACCCCTAAAAATCGTCTCGACCTAGAGACATGGCTCAAGGCTGTGAAAAATTCCATGCCCTGCGCGATGTAGTTAGGTCCACCTGGCCCCCACTGTAAAAACAGCTCGGTCGATGGAAGGATTCTTCCGCCGACCTTCTCTTGGAGAGGTAGATTAACTCCATCGATGTAGGAAGCCTCTACACTCTGGCGCTACAGGTGCAGAGCCGCAGCTGCTGTTGGAGCGTAGATACGGCCTAAGGAAAGAAACAGAAATCCCAGGCCAGGTTGATCGCACAGAAAGGATGCACCAGGCCAAATTCAGATCCGATGTGGCAGGAGCGATGTTCATGGATGTGTCTAGGCCACCTTCAGTGGTGACATAAATCAAATGGACCTGCCCCTCGCTTACCCTCAGGTCTCTTTACAACAGCATAAAGGGACCTTAAAATATTCCCCCCCTGCTTCCCTGGTGGCTGAGAGCTGGCAGGTCTCTCCCCAGCCCATCTCCTCCCTGCGCAGGAGAGTGGCCGGAGTGCTCTGGCCGGTAGCTCTTCTCTGCTTCCGAGCAGCCACAAGCAGCAGCGTGTAAATTAGCACAGCCCTGAAGCTGCTCTAACTTACGCTCGAGGCCAGACAGCCTCTGCATGGCCCCCAGAATACAGGGAGCACAAAGGTGACTTAAAGGCCCGTTTAACCTCACCTGCCCCGAGTGCAGAGAACCAGGCCTGAAGGATGTGTTTTAGCTGATCCGAGGTACTAATGTGCTGGATGCCTTCCAGGGCTTATACTCATTGGAGGAAAAACCACTGCATCGCAGCCCCTCCCAAACACAGCTTTCCCCATACACTCCCTTCTCCGTGTAACGCCCACCCAGCTTTGGGCCCTGCAGGTGCCCGGACAAGTCTCTGTGGTGTTGCATCAAAGAAGGGGGGACGGGGAGGGACTAATTTCCAGAACCAAGGACCCATCACTGAGAAGGCCCTGTGGCCACCCTCTCCTCTTTGAAATTAGGGGGTTTTGCAAAGGGCCACTCCACTCAGTGCAACAGAAATGTGTCTACTCACGGGCTGGGACCTTGCTGCTTCTTTCACAGTCTCACAACAGAGTGGGTGGGAGCTCCCATGAACTACACAGGTGGTAAGGAAGGGGTGGAGCATGGCTCCAACCCATAATACTCCGAGTCACTCCGTTCACCCCATGACGCCCACTTTACTACAGGGGGCAGTTAGCTCAAGCACCTCTGCCGCCTGCCAGTTGCAATTGCCCGGGGTTGTCTCCCAGGTGGTCAGAATAAAGTGCTCCCGTTGAGGACTGGGGCCGGATAAACAGGGAAGGGCGTTCTGCATCCGCTGGAGCTTCCGAGGGGTCTGAGCTCAGTGCAGAGGACAGCTGTAAATGGGGGGCGGGGTCGAGTGCATTGGAAGATGGGTGCCCACGGCTTGGGAAAGTCGTGCTGCTCGGCCCAGTGGAGCATGTGCAGGGGAGTGTCAGCTGAAAGTCAGGCGGGAGGGGAGGGGAGAGGGGCAGAATGGTGCAGGAAGAGCTGCAAATAGGAAAGCGTGGGCTGGATTCTGATCAGCTACTCCTGTGTAAACCCGAGGCAGCAAAAATGCACCTGATCGAGAACGACAAAGAGAATAAATGCTTGGAATTGCCAAGGCGAATCTGTCTCTTCAGGGCCTCCGTGTGAAGTCCTGGGTCTGCGGGCGCACCAATGGCCCTGAAGCTAATCAGAGGCGGGGGGAAAGCAGTGAGAAGATCCTCGCGTTGCATTTCGTCTGGGTCAGACAAGTGGCCTAGCGCCGCCGTGCCAGCGACTGCATGGGAGCGCCTGGCTAGGGGAGAACAGGAGTCGGCAGGGAGCTGGATAACCAGAGCAGGAGACTGCAGTGCCCACGCTGCCTGCAAGCTGGGGAGGGTGTCGGGCCTAGCGCCTCTGGGACGCCATATGAAGGTCCCTGGCGAGGAAAAATGAGCTGAAAACGAAGCATGGGAGCTGAACATGGGCCTTTTCCTCTGCACATCAGGAGGGTGCCGCCAAGTATCCTGTGATTGCTGTGGCACTTTGAACCTGGATTGTGGCAGGCCCAGTGCAAGCAGGGTCTAAAGTAAAGCCAGGGCCGGCCCTAACTTTTTTGCCACCCCAAGCAAAAAAAAAAAAAAAAGAGCGCCGCCATGCAGTAACACCCCCCCAGCACCGCGCCACCGAAACACACACCCCTGAGTGCTGTGCCGCCGAAACCCCCCCGAGCACCGTGCCGCCGAAACCCCCCTCCCCGAGTGCCGCGCCGCCTAAGGGGGGGGGGAACCCCAAGCGCCGTGCTACCGAAACACCCCCCCAGCACCGTGCCGCCGAAACATCCCCCCCGCGCGCGCCGCGCTGCCGAAACACCCCCCTGAGCGCCATGCCGCCAGAAACAAAACAAAACAAAAAAAACCCGAGCGCTGCACCGCCGAAACACCCACCCCCAGCGCCATGCATCCGAAACACAAACAACGCACCCCCCCCGAGCGCCGCCCGGCTGAAACAAACAAACAAACAAACAAAACCCCGAGCGCCCCCGCCGCCCCAAGATTGGCCGCCCCTTACAAGGTGCCGCCCCAAGCACGTGCTTGGTCGGCTGGTGCCTGGAGCCAGCCCTGAGGAAAGCAGATCTCCTCTTCCTGTCTGGCCTCATCTCGCCCCCCACAGCTCCCCTTCTGCCCCCCCCCCCCTCTGGGCGAGCAGCGCCCCCCACAGCTCCCCTTCTGCCCCCCCGCCTCTCTGGGCGAGCAGATGGACGATACCTCGCTATACAGGACTATGCAGAGGATGTCTCCATACTAGACATTTGTAGGGCTGGTTGGAAAAATATTTCTTTGGAAAATGTCCATCAGAAAATACTGTTTCACCAAAATCGAAACTTTTTGCTGAAACATGTCACTTTAGGGGAAATTGCACATAATAAAACAAAACGCAGCATTTTGATACGGTCAAGCTTTTTGGAATGGAACATTTTGATTTTCTGTTTCATTTTTTAAGGGTTATATTATAAAGTAAGTCGTCAACATCGGAATGAAATATTTTGATTTTATAGAAACCTTTTTCATCGACCCAAAACCATTTTTTTCCAGAATTTCATTGTGTAGGAAATTTCAATTTCCTTTGTTTGTTTGTTTTTCATTCTGTTTCAGAATGGAAAAAAAATTCAGGAATTGTGGACTTTCCCATGAAACAGAAAATCCAGTTCCCGCCCAGCTCTAAAAGGCTCCACATGGGTTTAACTTGCCAAAACAAACAAACAAACAAAAACCCCTTAGCTTCACACTGTCCCTTCAGTAATCAGGTTTTCTCCGACTAAATCTCCTTGCTGTGAAGACTCCCCACCTTGCAGAGCGTTTCAGGACTGGCTGGCTAGGCTTTTGCAAAAACAGCTCTGCCTGTTTGTCCTATTTCAAAAGAAACAAGTGTCTCATTTTGCACTGAAGAATCCGATCTGCTTCGACTAGTTTTGCATGGAG